CATATTCATATATTTCTATATAAACACATATACTGTGAGTGTATTTGCCTACATACACATATGTACTTATGTATATATTCATATAGATGTGTATGTACGCATATACACTTGTGTATGCATTTATGTGGGGTTTTTTTTTTCACACAAACACCTATATTCCATCTTAAAGTAGAAGGTTGCATGAGGGCGTGCACTGGAAGCTCCGGGCAGACCCTGGCCAGGTGTTTCCTGTCAGTCCTCAGGGCATCCCTCCCGGGAGTGCTATGACCAGTGTTTCTCTATTTCCCAGGCCAGGAAGCTGGGGTTCAGAGAGGTTAGTTTGGTCACACGATGTCACCTGGATGGAGGACGCAGGGTGTGATCCATGGCACGCCAGAGCCCCAAGATGGAGAGGGACAGTTACGCTATTCAGGGAGCCCTGTCCAGGCTACCCTTCCCACCCGCCCCTTGCCCCCTGCGCCTGTGCTCCCCGCTGACTCTCAGTTGTGAGGTCCACCCAGGGAGGGACTTCTTCCTGACTGTCTCTTGGGGGTCTCACAGGACATTTCCCGTTTATTTCCTCTCAATCAATGTTTGTGGAAGATGTAATCCCCACCACCCATTTGGGTCATCATTAAGCATGGCTCCGAAGTGGGGAAGCTGAGGCTTGAACTCATGTTGACCTGACTTCTGAACCCCAAAGCTCGGCCCCTCCTCTTGGCCACGAGTGAGGTGCACACCACTCCATATGCTTCAGAAGGAGGTTGTGCCATTTCTAGAAGGCCATATCACCCCTGGTCCAGAGGCTCCTGGACCCCACAAGCTGGCCTTGACCCCACTCTTCCTCTAGACCCCACATCCAGTCTCTCGGCGAGCCTTGCCTTCCAAATACAGCCTGGACCCCAGCACTGCTGTCCAGCTCTCCTACCACTGTGTGGTCCAGGCCCTCCCCATTACTCCCGGGATTCCTGGGCTAGCCCTAACTAGCTCCCGGCCCCATCTTCCCGTCCCTACTGCCCACCCCCCACAACGGCAACCTGTTCAAACTCTGGTCCACTCATCACTGCTGAAAAGTCTGCAGCGGCTTCCAGCTCACTGGAGCCACAGGTCCCAGCCTCCCCATGGCTGCCTCTAGGACCTCTCCTCCTGCTGCTAGCTGGCTCTGCCCGAGGGACAGTGGCCTGCAACGGTCACATGCACGTATGGACACGCACATAATACGTGCGCACGCACACGCCCTCCATCTCTGTCCTTGCGCCCTGCTCACATTTATGATCACACCGCAAATTCTTGTTTACATCTTTCCATCCATCCCTGAGGTCACAGCCCCGCCCAAGCCTGACGCAGGGCAGGCACTTAGCAAGTATTGGTGAGAGGGAAGCCCGAGCAGGAGGTCAGGAAATATTGTTGAATGAAGGAACGAATGAAAACCAGAAAAACATCTCCCTGAGTTCGAAGTGATCACAGTGTGTCATACCTAGAGAACTGATGCCCGACTTAGCCAGGGCTTCTGCTGGAATATTCGGGATAAATATTAGGATTAAGGGGAGGGGGGTATTTTCCAGGCTGGTGAAGCTCTTTCTCATCCTCATCAGGGCACTTGGATGCTGAGATCCTGAGGGTAGACGTCGGGGTGGGACGGCAGACCCGGGGGCCACTGCATACCCTCTCAGAGAGGAAGCTCAACCCAGTGAAGTGCATTGGCAGGTGTGTGGGCACGGGGCACATTAGTGCGTGTGAGGCAGACTCTGCCGTGGTAAGGCACAAGCCCGCGGCCATGGCAGTCGAGCACAGAAATCACTGCTCACTGACAGCACAAATGCATTTGGTGGCGGGCAGGGCTTCTCCATGCACACAGCCACCCAGGGACCCAGGCTCCATCCACTGTGGGGCCTGCCGCGTGGCTTCCAAGGCCCCCGCAAAACGGAAGAAGTGAGGCGGCTGCACGGGAGAGGTTTCTATTCCAGGCCTGCTGCCCGTGCCCTAACGACCCCACCTAGATGCAGGGGGTTAGACCTATATTTCTCCTATGGGCTGAGGAGAGAACTGAGATGGTCTGGGGAACATGGAGCATTGTCTGTCACATCAGGGAGGGGCCGGTCTCCGGGACACACAGATCCTGGGATCGGTAGCCAGGTTTCCTGTCTGAGCCTTGCGTGGGACGCAGGCTGAGGTCCTGTGGGTGCCCGTCATCTGTATGAAGTATCTGAAAGTCATGAAGGAAAAGAAACCTGGAGAAAGAGGCTGGAATATGTGTGTGGGACCTGGAGGGGTTTCAGAGTGGGGCAGACAGCAAGAAAGACTGGAAACCAGAGAAGCACCTGGTACCCAGTCCCCAGAAAGAGAAAGGGCCTTGTGGAGAAGCACCCCCCACCGGCCCCCTTCTCCACGCACTGCAGCTCAGAAGGGTGCTGCTCCGTTTGGCCCTTGAGCACCTGCACCTCTGGGGGCAGGGTGGGGTCTTGAAACAGCATCCAGGTGGGGCAGCTCTGCTCTGACCCCTAGCCTGTGCAGGAACAAGGGCACCACCCCCAGGTGGCTTCTGGTGCAGGCAGGAATGAGAAGACTGGACCCAAAGAATAAAGAGCTCACCTGAGATGCCTTCCTGAGACTTCAAGAACAACCTTTAGAAGGAGAGTGCTGGCCAAGACACGGCCATTGACACAGCCTTGCTGTGTCCACGGGCTACTACTGACTCTGGTTACATGAGCCAGAGAGTAGGGAGGGCTCTGGTCCCTGCACAAACCCTCAGGTGTTCACTACAGTCCTCTGGCCCATATGTACTGTGCCTGGGGCAGGTGGGATGGGAACAGGAGAGAATATGAGTCCCAGTCGGCTCCCCATTAAGCCCCAGCTTTGGGGCACCTGCCCTGCTTTGTGTTCATGCAGGGGCAGAGCCAGTCCCAGCCTACCTGCCTGGAGTCCGACCATGCCTCTCTCCTGCCAGCCCCCTAAAGCTAGACCTGGTCCCCACTTCTCACGACGGCTGGATCCCACCACACCGCCTCCTCTGGAATCACTGCTTAGCCACTGTGTCTGTCCCTTCCCTCGTGGTCCCTAGCAGGGAATGTAAGGAAGGGACAGGGAGCCAGACAGCTATGAGAAGCCCCTGATATCCCAGAAGGATAATTTCCACAGCAAAAGAGATGCCTCTGCATACAGCAGAGGGAAGCTAAATGGCCCCAGGCAATGGGAAAGGAATTTGTAATACAGATGACAGGGATAATTAGCACGGAAGCACGGATGACTGCCGAGGGGCTGAGTGGTGCACTCTCCAAGGAGTGCCTTCCTCCTCCCCACCCCCTGCATCCCAAACACAGCCAGCCAGCCCTCTCCAGACCCATACCATCAGGCCAAGCATCAGGGCCAGCTGTCTCCCAAATGCTAAGGCAAGAGTTGAGCTGAATCATTATGCTTCTTGATCTTAGGAGGATCGTGGATACCTTTAAGAATCTGACAAAGGTGTGACTCCTTCCTGGTGGGAAAGCATATACATAGCTCATCGCAAGGTCTGCTACAATTTCAACGAATTCCCCCAGTCCTTGAAACCCACCTATGACCCTTTAAGGGTCAATGAATTTTGTTTTAATTCAGTCATTCAGTGGAAATCTATTCAGTGTCCACTAATAAAATCTTTTTTTAAAGATTTTATTTATTTATTTATGAGAGACAGAGAGAGGGAGAGAGAGAGAGAGAGGCAGAGGGAGAAGCAGGCTCCCAAGGAGCAGGGAGCCCGATGAGGGACTCGATCCCAGAACCCCGGGATCATGACCTGAGCCGAAGGCAGACGCTTAACCATCTGAGCCACCCAGGCACCCAGTGTCCGCTAATAAGCACCCCAGTGGGTGTTCTCATCCACAATACTACTTAGCCAGGATAGCACACAGAATCATCCACAAGTAGTGCATCTGGCTGAGCCTCGCCTCCTGGCACCCTAGTTCTCAGTGCTGGCTGCACATTCAAACCACCCTGGAGAGCGGTTTAAAATTCTGATGCCAAAGCCTCACCCAGATCAATTAACTCAGAACCTCTGGAAGTGGGACCCTAGGGATGCCTGGGGGTGCAGTCAGGGGAGAGGACCAGTGCCCTAGAAAATCCAAACGTGTTTTTTAAAAAGTTCCCTAGGAGGGGCGCCTGGGTGGCTCAGTCATTAAGCATCTGCCTTCGGCTCAGGTCATGATCCCAGGGTCCTGGGATCGAGTCCCGCATCGGGCTCCCTTTTCGGCTGGAAGCCTGCTTCTCCCTCTCCCACTCCCCCTGCTTATGTTCCCTCTCTCACTGTGTCTCTCTCTGTCAAATAAATAAATAAAATATCTTTAAAAATAAATAAATAAAAAGTTCCCTAGGTGGTTGGGTTAGAGTGCATCCCAACTTAGAATTAACTTAGAGCAGTTAATTCATTCATACATTCAGCAAATGCCTAACGAGCATCTACTATGTCCCAGGCAGTATGCTGGGCGTGGGGGGCACAGCAGAGAATAAGAGATCAAAATCTCTGCCCTCGCAAAGATGATATTCTAGCAGAGGGGACGGGCACTCAGTAACCAACACATAAAAAGACTTGCAAATTGTGTTTCATGCCACAAGGCCCATAAAGTAGGAAGTGACGTGAAGACTAATAGAGGGACCTTCTTGTAGAGGCCAGGGACACTGCCTGGGGGCCACTGGAGCTGAAGTTTGAAGGCCAAGGGGCTGAGGGAAGAGCATTCCAGGTGGTGGGAGCAGCCAGTACAAAGGCTCTGCAGCAGGTCAGAGCTCAGAATAAGAAAACAGCCAGTGTGATGCCCCCTTGAAGTGAGGAAGGGGGAGGGTGTGATGTGGGACCAGGCTGAGAGAGAGGAGCCAGACCAGCCAGGCCCTTGGAGATCCAGCAAAGAGTTTAGGATAAACTCCTGACTGTCATATTGTCCCCAGGCCTCCCAGTAGTCTCAGATTGGAGCAAGTGTCTCAGAAGAAGTGCCATCCTAAAGGAATACAGTTCAGAAGGGGCTCGGCTGGGATGCACACCCAGGTCTCCTGACATGGCAAAGCAGAGGCAACACGCCCTGCAGGAAGCGTACCCAGGTAAGTGGGTCTCCCCACTCTCTGGCCCTAAGCCCCTTTTCTGCCCATGCCCAGCCCCAGCCACTGATGTAAATGGTGCGGGGAGAGCATTGTCCTTCCCACCCCCACCCCGCCTCATAAACCCCTCACCGTGGGAACCGGGCCAGCCAATCAGAACACTCCCCTTTGAAAGGCCACCCTATAAATTGAGCCTCCTCTCCCCAGACGTACCAGACCTACCATTCATAGGCCTCCCAGGGCCCCCTCCCCCTGGATAAACCAGATCAGTTGCCCCCCACCTTCCTCCAGGGTAGAAACAGGGAGTCTGCTGCCTGGAATGTTCAGGGCCAAGCGCCAAGCCTCCCGGCCCCCAGCGTAGAGCCCCAGCCCCTGGCATGGCCACACCATGACACAGGAGCGACTCAGGAGTCCCCGAGAGTTTCGAGGGGTAACCTGGGAAACCCATGGAGCAGTGAGAGTGGGTTGCTGAGCCTGCGACAGTCCAGCCAGGGGAAATGCAAGGAAAGTGACACCAGCCTGTTGAGCAGCGGGTACGCAGGCGATGAGGAGAACAGTGAGGTCAGCCTGGTGGGCAACACTCCAATCTTAAGGTTGCCGAGAAGGCTCCACACCCAGGCAGGCAGCGCCCCAAGCAGCCAGCTGTGTACCATCTACTCGCCCAGCCAAATCAGAAGGCGGGCGGCTGGCCAAGCCCACGGCAGCAGGCAGGCTGGAGGGGAAAAGCGAGGCCAGCCTGCCCAGCAGCGGCCTCAGCAGCAGGGCCAGCAGCCTGACCAGCATGAGCTTCATCAGCCTGGGCAGCAGTGCCCTGAACTATCAGGTGAGTAGCGGACTGCTCAGCTCCGCCCACAGCCTTCCCACCAGCAAGGCCAGCAGCTGCCAGGACATCCCAGTGGACAGCAATGTGCAAAGTGGGGTGAAAAGTAACACCAGTCTTCAGGAGGACAAGTCTGGGGGCAAGGCCAAAGCCGGCGACCAGGCCGCCAAGGAGGAGCAGCCCGCCCAGATGTGCATGCCTTTATGAGCCGGGTTGCTGGCCACCAGGTTCTTGAAAAATACAGACATGACGGCCCAGCAAACACAGACTTCACCCAGAGTGGTTATTGCCAGAGCAAATACCTTTAAAAAAGTATACACTGACTGTGTCGGAACCTTGGATAGCCCCATTTGTAGCAACAACCATCAGCAGCAGGGTCGTGTGTAGCGAGAACTATGGATGATGAGCACCATCTACACTGACAATCAGCAATCAACAGTGAGACCATCTCTATTGAGAACCACTGTTGAGAGGAATGGCTGTATGAAGAGTCATCAGTGCTGGGTTCACCTGCATCCACCTCCACTGGCCAAACCACTTATGAGCCCCAGTGATGAGCCAGCCCTAACAGGATCCATCACTGGCAAAACCATCTGTATTGAGAACCATCATGGTGGGATCACCAGTGCCAAAACCCATCAGTGGGGACAGTTGTGATCAGCAGCAAATACCAACTCTATTTAGAACCATCTGAAGTTAGAACCTCCCATGGAGAAACCATGCTAAGTGATGAACACCATCTATAACCAACACCAGTCATGATAAGCTCAGAAGAAGCAAGCACCAGTCTCGGCTGGGACTGTCCACAAGAGCCAGCTGAAGGAAACACCATTGTGGGGGACCACAGCCCTGGAGGAGCTGGATCCCTACCAAGCTCTGTAAGATGAGCTGCCCACAAGAGCCAGCAGCATCCAGAGAGGATGCTCACGATGGCTGTGTTCAGGGAGCCCCATCCCTGAAGAGCATCCTCCAAATGAGCTTCTCCCTTTAATTTTGAGCACTGTTGCCAGGTAGCTTCAGCCCAGAATCTTCCCAGGAGCAAACGTTCCCCGATGCCCCATCTCAGTCTCTACGTGCATCTCAGAGGAGGTAGAGGCAAGGAGGACAGAAATCACCTTTGTTGAGATGGTAGGGACAGTGCTTCCTATGGCAGCACAATGCCCTGATCAATGCTTAATGGTGACAGAAACCAAACCAGCCCAGAAGGGCTGGGATGAGACAGCTCTGTGCCATTTAGCGAACATCTCCTAGGTGGGTGGGAAGGCTGAGACCTCCATCTGCCCCTTCTCAGGACAATAAAGCCCTTCCCTGGGGGCTGACCATGCAGACCCTGGGGAGGAGGTGTGTCCACTGAGGGGCGGAGGTCAGAACAGTCACGAAGACATCCACTAGGTTCAAGAAGGAAAGCGGAGGGGGCACCAAAGACAATAAAAGGTGTCTGGAGAGGCTGAAAGTGTACATGCATGTGTGTTCCTGCCAAGGTCACAGTGACAAATGCAAATACACCAAAGAACCGTGTTGAGAGGAGCCCTCAGCTGCCAGTTCTGCTCCCTCCAGGCTGGTGATCTGGGGCAAAATACTTACACTTTCTGGGCTCATTTTCCTCATCTGGAAAATGGGAACAATAACCCCTATTTCATACATAGGTAGGATGGTTCTGTGAATTACGTGAAAATGTCTATGAATTACCTGGCAAGTAGTAGGTCCTAAACGTTTGCTTCCTCCCCTTTCCGCGCTTGTCTGTAAATGGGCACAGTGGTTCCTGCCTTAGCTTCGCTCACAGCACACAAAGGATCATGACTGCTAACACAAACAATGTATTCTTAACCAAAAAAAAAAAAAAAAAAAAGAAAGAAAGAAACAAAAAACAACAAAAAAAATGGAGCTATAGCATCTGCTTAGAAGACAGGACAGATCAGCAGATGGTTTGATAGGTTTCAGGGGTGAGTGGTTCTGGGTTTGAGGGCACTGCATGTCTGGACTGGTGGGGCCGTTCATCTCGAGCATGAGGGCCTTTGAGTACATTCTCCCCCACTTTGTCCAGGCAATATCACTCAGCAGGGGCAGAGCACCCATGACCCAGGCAGACCAGAGGAACTCCCCGCCCCCAGCCCTGCCCAAGGGACCCCTGTCCACAGGCAGGCCCTGGGGGGGAATCTTCTGGGGAGGCTCTAGGGCTGCTTTCCCTCCTCACACCCCCATTGCTGCCTTGCTCTCCTGTCTCAGAGAAGGACAGAGGGTACACAAAAGCAAAGTTGTAAGCACAGCAACACTAGACAACCGCACACTGGAGGCCACAGACTCCCCGGACACAGCGTGTCCAAAACGAGCTCACCCCCCTTCCCTCGACCACCTCCTGTGTCCCTTCTCAGCAAATGACATCATCCCACCCCATTGTTCCAGCGGGGGCCCTTGTCGCACTGGACCCCGCCCCTGCCTCAGCCCCACGTCCCATCAGTCCCTAACACCTCCCCTCCCTCACTGCTGCCCCCTTAATCCAGGCTGTCTCTTCCCCCCAGATCAGTGGTTCCCAGCTCCCGCCACACAGTAGAAGCACCTGGGGAACATTTACAAGATGCAGATGCCCAAGCATCAGTAGGGTTTAAAGTTCCCCGGGTGATGATCATGTTCTGTCCGGGCCAGGAAGCACCTCTGCCCTTGCTCTCTTCCCCCTCAAACGCACTTCCATCCCCTGGGGTCTAAAATGGACACCCTCAGGGGCCAGAAAGCTACTACAAGGGAGTAGATACGGGGCTCAGCCTACTGGAGGACATGCATCCCATCAAAGAAAAGCCAGAAATCCAGAATTCTATATGTAAGATCTCCTGATTTTTCAATGTGGGTCACAAATTCAAATTCTTTCCAGAAAGGGGGAGGATGGATGAAAATTTCTGAAGGCAATCTCAGGGCCACACATTCAAAGGCTTCTGCTTCTAAACAGAATGCAGCCATCTTTCTGAAACAAAAACCTACTTATATTCCTTAACTGCTTAAAAACTTCTGAATCTTCCCCCTGTCCAAAGGATCTGACACGGCATTCAAGGCTCTTCAACAAACTGACCTATGTTTTCCTTCCCTGGACTCCTGTTACTTCCTCCAAAACCTCTATATATACCACCTCAAACCTCTCATAATTCACATGCAGTAAAATGTTCCCTTTCTTGTGTACAGTTCTATGGATTTTTGACAAGCATGCACATAGATGGGTCAGGCATCCACCACCACACCCTGAATACCGAATAGTTTCATCGCACCCCAAAAATCCCCCCTTGCCCCTTTTGGTCAGTTCCTCCCACCCCAGCACCGCTGACCAGTTTTCTGTCCATACGGTTTTCCAGAGTGTCACGTGGAATCAATCAGTACGTAGGAGCCTTATAAGCCTGGCCACCTTCGCGTAGCCATTTTGACTCACCCACATTGTCTGTTTAGTGCTGAGTAATGTTCCATGGTCCATCAGCTCTCCCATTGAGAGGCACTGGGTTGTTTCCCAATCGGGCAGGTTACGAAGTGAGTAGTAAACATTTACGTACAGGTGTTTGTATGAACAGAAGTTTATCATTTCATCTGGGTGAATACCCACGGGTGGGACCGCAGGCTGGGACATGTGTTTGGCTTCATAAGAACCTGCCCCGTCACTTTCCGAAGGTGGCTTTACTTTATAGTTGCCAGCACTTTGCCTTTGTCAGAGTTTGGATTTTTCATTTCACTCTCAAAGTCTCTGTTCTCATTGTCTTAACAATAAGAAATCGTTTGTCTCAGTCTCCCATTATTAACTGTCTTACACATGGGCAAACTGAGGCACACAGAGGCCAACTGTGTGTGAGTAAGTGGTGGGGCTGGGATTTGAACCCAGGCGCTCTGGTCCCTGAGTCCATGATCTTAACCATTAACCTCTCTACCCTGCCCTCCCTGCTTCGGACATTTAGGGCCCTCACATACCCAGGCAACAGGCCGCCCCCAGACGCAGAGCCCCCAGCCAGCTGCTTCTTGTCTCGAGCCCCTTAAGTGTGGCACCTCCCACTGTGTCTGCCTCCCTAAGGACAGGTGTCACTCCCCCAGCCCCCCGCCCCCGTATCTTCAATGCCACTTCCCCATCAGTGGCAGCAATCGTTGCCGAATGAATGAATGAATGAATGAATGAATGAGAGACAGTGAGTGAAGGATGAATAGCTGAATCAGAAGAAAAAAGATGGATCCTCCAAGGCCTGCACTCCAGCGACTACATCCCACTGTCCAAAAACAAACGTGGTTCAGGATCCAAAAATTAAATACTGTTCAGCGTGCATGCCTGAGCCCCGGGCACTGCTCCACACTTCTCTCATTGTCTGCCCAGCAGATCCGTCTCGGCTCAGCTCTCTCCCACCCGAGCACGGGGCACACAGCAAGCACTTGAAGCAAGGACCATTTTTCAAGCGGGTATGGTGATTTTTTGTTTCCTGTCCACTAGCTTGGCGTTTGGGGTGCAGCAGGGTTGGAATGATGGGTTGGCTGCAGGCACTGGCTCCTGAATTATTAACTGGGCTGGGGAAAGAGTTGCTTACAAATGCTGTCCATCCAGCAGACCAGGCGGCCCACGGACTTCAAACAGGCCTGCAGCAAGGAGGGACTGGGAATGGGAGGGACTCGGCTGGTGGGCCCCACACGCTGACCAGATCTGAAGCCTCTCTTCCTGAGCGCTCCCTTGGTTTCCATCCCCTGGCCCAGAAAAAGTTTATTTCTCTCGAGTTCTTCACACCATAGTGCCTGCTCTGTGGGAGTCAAGCACACTCCTCTTCTGTCCACGGCAAAACTGTGGGCAAAATGGATTGAGTCTAGTGATTAAGGTTTGCTCGGAGCCAGGAGCTTGGTGGGTAAGCCAGGCTCTTGGTCTGTGGCTCACTGTGGGCAGGGAGCAGAGTAGGGTACCTGAGGTTGGGTCTCCAGGAGCAGAGCCTGAGATGAGGGTTTTTGTAAGATTTATGGAAAGGGCTTTCCAAGGAGAAGGGGAGTAAGGGACACGGGATGGGGCTGG